AACCCTATGAGTTTATTATTATTATCATTGTAACAGCATCATGAATATATTGTGGATTAAAACAGTCAGCTGCAAGTGAATGCACAATGAGACAGAAGGATTACTGTGTGTCTTATTACACAATCTCTTTTTTTCTCTTTTTCCACTTAGAGGGTAGACAGACAGATGGGAACTAGTAGTCCTTCTAATAGTTCATGCATGTGTGTAGGGCTAGAACTCTAGTTGACATGACTAAGGTTTTGTGAACTTGTCCAGTGATACTAACACAGCACTTTCCAAACAAAAAGTGTTTTAAGGGAAATTTCCTGATCAACTTTGCTACCGATTGCAAAACACAATACTGTGTTTTGATCATAGTAAGGGAGGGTTACCACATCACCAGGAAAAAATTTCAGGGCCATAGATATCTGTTCACCACTGCTCAAACAAGTTGTGGTTTTTAAAAAAATTCCCTAAAGAAAGTCAGGTGCTTACTTTAAATGAGATTTAAGGTCTCAAACTCACCTGCCTGTTTCAAAATATTTATAGGATCCTAGGACTGGAAGGGAGAGTATTACTTCCTCCAATGATATGTTTGGTCCTAATACAACAACGCTGTTCTCTGGGTGCATCTATTCATGAAATTAGCATAGCTGAATGAACTCCATCACAGTTCTTGCTGGAGTTTATTGTTCCTGGGTGTGGGAAACAAGGATTACATGTAACAAAGAGGATCAAAGGCCAGACCTGTGGAGCATAGCTGGGTGGAGGAGCGGTCATGGCTGGTCTTGCTGAATGACGTTCTCCAACTGGCTGGTGGGTCTGAACCTGGTTCCTCCTCACCCCACTGCAGCACTGGTCAATTTAAAGGGCTATAAGTACAGCGTGTGCAGCCCCCAGCCATTCCCAGCCTGGTTCAAGGGAAGGCTGATTTCGGTATTTCCCTGCAGCAGGGATGTGTGTGCTTCTGCTGCTTTCAGATCTGCTCAGAAGACAAGGGCTTTGCAGGGCCTGGGATCCTAAGATCTGTGCAGCTGGGAGGTGTTCCCCACTTCAGGACAGTTTCTGCCTCTCACTGAAACTCAGACCTGACCCCTGGGACCCTGCCAGCCCAGGGCTGGCACCCAGGAAGCCTGGAGCTCCCCCTGGCTGCTGCAGCAGGGCAAAGCAGGGTAGGTGGGCAGGAACAGCCCTGCACTCAACTGCTCCCACTGGGAGCAGATTTGCTCCTGACACAGGTGTACATGTATACACGTGGCCAGGTGCAGTTTAGGGGCCTAATAGTTTTTACCACTCAACACTATTTTGCCATATTGTGCTGAGATGCTACTGCAGAGTAGTGTAACAGCTGCACAGGAGGATCCTAGGACTGGAGAGGAGGATCCAAATCCAGCTTTGAGAGAGATGGGGGCAGAGGTGCAGCCCCCCCACCCCTGCACTGGAATGGGAACTGAGACTTACTTCAGGAGCCAACATCAGGACAAGGAAGCATATGTATAGCACTATTATGAGCTAATCTCCTCACCAGGTGTGGTGCTGTGCAGCTTCCAGACACAGGTGTCCCCAGGAGAAGAGGGAATGGGAAGCTCGTAGGTTGTTTGGGAGCTGCCCGGTCAGAACCCTGCAGGCATGGGTGACTGGTGCCACCTTAGTTGGGGGGGGGGGCACGTGCCCCCCCCCCAGTGACCAGTCAGCGACTGGGAGGGTACGGGTTCCCTCACGGCCAATTTTGCTGACTGGTGGTGGGTCCCCCACAGCTGTTGGTGTCAACTGGGAAGCAGCCACAGTGCTGCTGGAAGTGGCTGCAGTGCTCTGGGAAGTGGCCATGGTGGCACTGAAGAAGTGGGTTCAGAGCCTCAGAAACAACAGGAGCTGGGGCCACACCATCTAGTGGCGGAACCTTGTAATAACTGTTGCTATTTATTACAATGAGAGGGGAGGTTTAATTCTAAAAGGAAACTTTTTCTTTTTTAAACAAAAGGATATGAACATGCGAATGTAATCAGTGCAGGAGTCTGGTGTAAGGGAATAACCCCCTGTGTGAGAATTATTCACTTACAGTTACATTGCTAGATTGTATTCAAATAATTGGTTTTATTATTCTCTATTGATAATATATATATAAGTATATGTCTCTTCTTTTTTATTAACCTCTCTCTCTTCCTGTATATAGGTATATATATAATAAAGAAAAACATCTGTTCATTGGGCTTATGGAGTAAATGCTTGGGTGGTGAGGGTGAGGGGCACACTCCAGTCAGCACATCTGCCTGAGGGAGATCCCAGGGCTACTGGCACCTTGAGGATCCAAAATCTGGCATATTGCCTGGCCTAGTACGCCGGCAAAGTTAACAGTAATATTAGGCTACTGCACAGTAGCGTCACGTAAAAGGTGTTCAGTGGTGCTACGGTGTAGAAACTCTGGTTACTGAGCATTTATTTAATACTTAACTTATACAAGTATTAAATAAATATGCAGTAACCACTGTGCAGTAGTGTCTTGTGTAGATGCACTCACTGGGCCTTTTTATAATGCACAGTAACCTTGAGGTTAACCGACACTTAAAAAAAGAAAAAACGCCCTGCACTCACCAGTTGCTGCAGCGGCTGTCGCAGCCTCTAGGGGCTCATGGCAGAGCCCCTGCACACAGTGAGGGGTAGTGGAGGGCAGTGAAGATCACACCCCTGCCTGGCAGGAGCCAGTGAGTGGGGGTCTTTTTTTTTCCTTGTTTTTTCTTGATTTGTTTTTTTTTTTTTAAGGTGCTGGGACACTGGAACTAGCTGGGGTGGCAATTGATGGGGCTGGGAGAATGGGTGGGGGATCGGGCCTGTTCAATTTGGAGATTTGGCCAGTTTGGCAGTGGATGAATCTCCGAATCAGATTCGGCCGAATCGATTCGGAAAAGTGATATCAATCATTGAATCGAATCACTGTCCCCCGAACCGGTTAAATTCGAATCCAAAGTGAATACTAGCTGTTTTGCACAGGCCTACCACAGCTGATACATATCCTGGCCCAGAAATAGGAAACAATAGATAAAAGATGATCAAAGTAAAAAACCAAAACAAAACTTTTTTTTTGGTTTAAAAGACATGAATCCAGGAAGGCTTGTTTCTGATTCTGTGCTTCAGAGGTAAGCTGGGCTCTAGGGAATAAGTCCCAGGAGGCCTAAGAAGAGAGATGTGGATAAATCACCTTCCTGCAGCATCAGTTCTTCCAAACCAGTGAAGTTCACTGTCATCTGCAGAGAGAAACTGGTTTGGAGCTACTTCTGTCAGGTCAGTCTTGGAGTGGAGATAGCTCCTACTAAGATATTTTGACTTGTGAAAATTTGCTAGTGGCAGGGAAAAGGGAAATTAGATAGATCAGTACAGGGAAAATAAGCAAAGACTCCTGGCACTGGAGGATGAGATCACAAGCTGAGAAAAAATTCATATTGCTGTAAGTTAATTATTCAAGTTAACTGTGGGTGGTTGGTAAGAAGAGGGATGCATGTAGAAATTAGATAGATCAGTAGAGGGAGAATAAGCAAAGCATATGGAGGATCTATTGTAAGCTGAGAAAAACTTCACAAAGAAAGTTGCAGTAAGTTTCTAATTGCAATTAAATACGGTTGGTTGGCAAGAAGGGAGGTGTGTGGGGTATTATTTAAGAACCTGAAAATGACATTCAACTGGAAAGCTCTCAGCATTTTAATAGCAAGGTGTTCAAAATTCTTCAGCTGGTCAAAGGAAGAAAAAAAAGAAAACAGCTCCCTTTAGAAATCTGAAGTTGCTACCAAGAACCCACACATTTCAGTGCTTCAGCAACTTGAGATTTTTCAATCAAAAGCTCCTGGAGGCTGCACATCTTAAACCAAATTATTCCTCCACCCCATATGGATAGTTCTTCCTCATAAATTGAGGGTTTTGAACAAAATACATGTATTGTGAAAAAGTTTATGTTTAGCAAAAGACATTTTTATAAGCAACAACTTTCTAGGCTTAAATGCTAATCCCCATGGCAGAGCGTCAGTCTTGCCCAGCAACACCAGAATTACAATCCCACCTCAGTCATTGCATCCAGATTTTCTTGTTTTCCAGCAAAATGCCTGGAGCAGGGAGAACTCAGTAAGCCCCACAGCTGATCCCCCTGAAAATGTCTTTTACATATCCAAGTGCCTCTCAAATTAGGGTCGGGGGACTCAACAAAGTGAGATGAGGAAATGCATAATGAGAAGCATCCTTTGCCCAAAATAGCTTCAGGTTCTTGTACCCAAATGATACAGATCCGTGACACAGTGTGGAGATAACAGGAGGATGGTATTGGCTTATCATGGCATAGAGATTACTGTCCAGATGGGGATGGGGGCCATGTAAATCAGCTAACAACCATGCGGCAGGCAGAACTCGGTATAGATTCATTTCATACAAGGTGACACTTTGGATGTTGTCTATGCTTATCCTGTATATACCAGGGGAGAGGGAAGTGGCGTGGGCTAGCATTTTATTTACTAGCATCTTATTGTAGTCACAAGTGCTGTGTTAAGTGTGCCTGACCTTGATGTGCCCTTGAAGTTTGCAGAGCTTCTTGCTTTTCCTGTTGTTGCTCTTAAAAATCAGATACAAAATGCTGCACTCTGGTCTGCCAACTTGATGAAGGGAGATGGTTTCATAGTGAGAATTCAAATGAGGAGAATGAGAGCATGAAGCAATTAAAAGACAAAACAACTAAATTATTGCATAACCAATATTCATAATTATAAACATTGTTTTGTTCTGAAATATTCTCTCTTCAGTGGTTTGGTTATATACCTATACGCACACACACACATATATGGAATTTCTGTATATGTGGAATTTCTGTGTACTCAAAAAACCATATTCCCAGCAATAATACTTTCCACTGACAATTTTCCAGCACTTCAAGAAAAACAGTACTGACAGTTAGTTCATGAGCTGTTTCTGACATAAGATTCCCTCCTCTTATATTTGTAACTCTGATCCTGACCACTGTCCTTGTCCTTCCTATGCAGGCTTTGCACCGTGCACTGGAAATGTCCAACCAAACGACTGTTACTGAGTTCCTCCTCCTGGGGTTTTTTGATGTTCGGGAGCTCCAGATCTTACACTTTGTTATCTTTCTAGCAGCATACTTGGCAGCTCTGATGAGGAATCTCCTCATCATCACAATTGCAACTCTTAACTATAAACTTCATTCTCCCATGTTCTTTTTCCTGATTAATTTGTCTCTCCAGGACCTTGGCACCATCTCAGTGACCGTGCCCAAATCCATGTCTAATTCCCTATTGAACATCAGGTCGATCTCCTACTCTGGATGTGTTATCCAAGTGTTTTGTCTCATCTGCTTCTTCGGAGCAAATTTATCCCTTCTCACAGTTATGGCATATGACCGATATGTTGCCATCTGCAAGCCACTGCATTATGAGATAATAATGAACAGGAAAGCTTGCATCCAGATGGCTGCCAGTGCTTGGATTGCTGGTGTCATGTACTCTGCAGTGCACACTGGGAACACCTTTAGTCTACCCTTCTGCCACTCAAATATCATCAACCAGTTCTTCTGTGAAGTGCCCCAGCTGCTCAAGCTCTCCTGCTCTGACACATACCGCAGAGAGCTGGCAGCCCTTGCCTTCAGTGTGTTTTTAGTTCTAGGCTGTTTTGCTTTCATCGTTGTGTCGTACGTTCAGATCTTCACCGCAGTGTGGAGAATCCCCTCCGAGCAGGGCCATCAGAAAGCCTTCTCCACCTGCATTCCTCACCTGACTGTGGTCTCCCTGCTTCTTTCCACTGCCATCATTGCCTACACGAAGCCCATCTCTGACAACCTGTCCCCTCTGGATCTCCTGGCAGCTGTTCTGTATTCTGTGGTGCCTCCATTGATGAATCCGGTCATCTACAGCATGAGGAACAGGGAGATCCAAGCTGCCCTGAAGAAACTGCTCCAAAAGTTTTGAGGAATCTACTCCAGATATAGTAGGTCTATCATTATTTCATTATTTCACTTTAGTCATACATACAATTTTTGGTGATGAATTGCTTTCATACTACCATGTGAAACCTGCTTATAAAAATGAAGGTGGTGGGCTAAATTTTCTGGCATGCCAAGGACAATGATTTTTTATGCATTAACACTGTTGGAGTGGAAAAGTATTATTTCATTCATCAATGTTTCTTTCTACCACCTAAAATAAATCCCACCAATTGCAATGCCATAGAATTATAGAAAATCATAGGAATCAGCATTGGAAGGGACCGAAAGATGTCGTCTAGTTCAGGGGTTCCCAAAGTTTTTATGTTGTGGCCTGGCTAACCGTGGCTCAGCAAACCGTGGCCCAGCAGTCGCAGAGGACTGTGGCCAGAATTTCTGTCTGGCAGACAGGTAAGGATACCCCCAACCCCAGAACAGTGGTGGGGCAAACCCTGAGCTGCTGTGGGCCCAGCAGAAGGGGCCATGGCGTCTCCATCCAGCTGTGGTGGGCCACGGTTTGCCTGTCTGTGGCTACTTCCAGTCCAGCAGCCGCAGCCCAGTGATTGAGAACCCATGATCTAGTCAAAGTCCCAGAATTAGGCATACTTAGCTTGCAGAAAAGGCAATTAAGGGGCAGATCATAACAGTCTTCAAATATCTGAAAACCTGCCATGAAGAAGAGGGTGAACAATTAGTTTCCCTTGCTGCATAGGGAAGGATATCAAGCTTCAGCTTATAGCAAAGTAGATGTAGATTAGACTTTGGGGAAAAAGCACCCTTGTTTTTAGGATAGCGAGGAAGTGGAAGAGACTTCCCAGAGAAGTTGTGGAGTCTCTGTCACTGGAGGTTTTCAAATAAAGGCTGGATAGGCACTCATCAGGGATGGTTTGGAGTACCATTTCCGCATTTGTACAGGGGGTTAGACCACATGATCCTTGAGGCCCCACCTAACTCTTTGACTTTATTATTGTAATGTAATAAAAGGCTTTGTTTGTCTGTGTGTCCATAAAGCTTTTGCTCTACTGTACATGTGCCGATTGGCTGGGCGGGCTGGGTGACCAGGGGCAGGGCCAGCTGGGTTAAAACAGAAGCCTCTTTGCTGTGCCACCATTTCCTGCAGCCTCTGGTGTGGTGGCTCCCCCCACCCCACCTCCACAGAGGAAAAAAAATAAAATGACATGAGCACGTTAGAAAGGTGGGGCCAGCCGAGGAAAAGTGGAAGCCCCTCTGTCATAGTGG